TTACATTATGGAAAATAATGACCTTTATCACAATATGCTAATTTTTTGAGAAGGACCTGTATATAATGTACCATCTTAATTTGATATTTACCTGTGGGTGGATGTGCCACATAATCATGGTCCACAGCAGCAGCTTCAGCCTGGCTAGCTTTCTGTGCCCTCTCAACAGCAGACTCTCTCTCAGCTGGTGCGGTGAAATTATTCCAGGTAAATGGAAAAGGAAGAGCTCCACTTTTAAGGCAGCTGGTGGTGGATCCGCTGACAAAATCCTCCTGACTGAAATGCCGGCTGCATACAAAAGTGCTCCTTGACTTTCTGCAGAAGTCGTGACCCTCATCTCTTCTAATCGCTAGGATCCACTGCCTCCTTTGATCTGGGTCCATAGGGAAAGTATGGTAGGACAGATATGGTTGTTTTCTTGCCCCACAAGAACAACCAGGAACTGAACAAAAGCAACCGCGCCGAGACTCAGCCATTTTCGTCACAGTCTAACGCTAACGCTATAGCCACCGGAAGCTGTTGAACACCACATCCGCTTTAAAACACGGAAGCGTGAAAAAGGTCTACGAGTGTCTGGTAGTTGAGATTTGGCTCCTGGGGTTCAGCGAGGCTAAGCCCAAAGAAGAGACATGAAGCTACCTGTGGAGGCCCTTGAGGATCCCTGGATCTGCCAATTCTTGGTGGTATAAAACAGCTCTAGGGACATGGATTGGGGGTCGATGCGGGGTTGCTGACTTGGAACCTGAAAGTCCCAGGTTCCATCCCCAGTCACTGCACATCTCGTGGTGTCTCTGACGGGTAAGGAGCTGGAGCTTGAGTGTTGGGCTCACCTCTACACACAGCTTGTGCTCTGGAACCCACCTCCTGGAGAATGTGCTCCTTCCACTGCCCAACAATGTCCCCAGTCCAGGTCAGCAGTCCCACCCAAACCCAGCACAACCTGGGACTGGGGTCCACTTTCCTTTTCCAAGTCGCTGAACGGTTTGCCAGAACCTTCTCCTGGTTCAAGCATCTTACTAGAATGGCTCTTGGGACACCTTCCTTTGGGGTTTTCCATGCACGTCCCTCTGTCAAGAACACGGAGTAGACCTAGAACTCACTGGATTAATGGATCCTCTCTGGCCTCAGACCGTCTTGGGACCCCCATGAAAAGCTGGACGTGTCGCTGAGGAGAAGGTTGTCTGGGTTTCTCTCCTGGACCTGTTGCCTCCACAACCAGACCACATATAAAAGGTAGATGATGGAGGTGAAGGTAGAGTTCAAGTTTTAATCTGAAGTCTCCTTTTACGTTTGCCTCAAGCTATTCTAATATTGACCTACACAGTCTTTCCAGGTCAAACAGCACAAACGAGCTGTAAAACCCTGACGAGAAGAAACAAGTGTAACTTGACTAATTAACTTACAGACTGACAGAACAGTCCGATATTAAAATTAAATCCACAATTAACAGAATGAATTTTGCTGTTGAACATTGCAGTGATCTTCGCGCCAGTGCACTCAGGAGGTATTAGTCATGAGACAACATGTTTGGAGTTAAATGTTTCCAGGCTGCTGAGCTGTCACATCATCTGTGACGGAACTAGCTACTTTAGCTTTAGCTCGACTCCGCGCTGTTTCTTGTCCGTACATGTTAAACCCAGCACCACAGACCTGACAGCGAAGTCCGAACTAAACACAAGACGCACAAAACTGCTGCCGCTTTCTTTCTCAGGGGGCTGACATTACGTAGAGTTACTGTGGCCCGTGCTAATGCTAAAGCTAATGTTGTCAGCAGCGCTTACACGTAAAAGGAGCTGAGCGCAGAACAGCGAAACAAACAAACAAACGGAGCTCCCGCCGCTTTCCTACCTGTGGTATGATGCGCAGCAGCCGGTGTTTTTCCTCGTCCACATCACAGGAACACTAAAGGAAGAGTGAGGACAACAAGTTGACACACAGAAGAAGCTGCCCCGGTAGTACAGTAGCCATAGCGTAGTGACGAGGAAGAGCCGGGCGCTCTGTTCAGTTTCTGTTCATGAAACTCGCTGCTGCCCCCTGCTGGTCAGAGCGCTCACTGCCGGAGTGATACCAGGACCGACCGGCAGAGGGCGCTGTCCTCATCGAGTGGATTTAATCCTGTTCATTCTTTATTTTTACAAGTTGGTCTCGTTGAGTCTATCGCTACAAGGACTCATTTACAAGAGAGGCCTGATTTAAACATAAACCCTAAATGAGGTGCACACAACATAACCATTCATATGAAATCATATAAAATGAAAAGTATATAGTCAAGGTTCTTTATTGTCATTCACATCGCATGTGGTACATGTGGTGGAACGAAACTGTGTACACAGGGTCCCAGTTACATCCAACAAAAGTATAAATTGTAAAAGAAAAACAATAATAAGAGCTAAGATATTAACTAAGAAATATGCTAAGAATACGCTAAGCAGTTAATAGTAAATGGTGATAAATAGACTATACTTATATACAGGTAGTCTTGTCAAACTGGTTGACCTGACTGAAAAATGTTGGATTGTATACCTGGATTATTGAGCAT